CACAAACACACAGGCAACATAAAACTGTACTGAAAAGATAAATAACACACCAGAATTGTTTACCCAGTTCGGTATACAAAAACACCTACTCTGGGGGCTACCAAGCCAAGAGTGAAGTCCACTATCAGCAATATCAATTTGAAGACCCTACAGCCAACACACCCGTTGAAGATCTACACACTTAATCACTACCCAATGACCCTTCTACCTAGGTCCTCCCTAGATATGGAATATCCCTATCCCACTTCCAATCATCACAATAATGTCTAGCAGTCAACACCTCAGTCACTGCATCGACGACCCTTCACCAAGATTTTGATCATACAGATAGACAGTTTGGAAGACACACTTCCATGACAACCTAGCTAAGTTTCCAATCTAAACTCCACTATTTGTTAGCTTTGCTCCTAACTAAGAACACATCCTGGATTTACTTCAAAGCTTCCTCCAAGAATAATACACCTATTACCTACAGGCTTCAAGGTGAACATGGTAACCTTCCCACAACCCAAGAGGTTTACCTTGACAAAACCCTAGACTTCTACATCTTGAGTAGTGTGTTTTCTATATTACAACCCCTTCTATTTATAACCTATTACCCAACTGGTTTTGGGCCTTCGATTACAGCAAATCAGCTGTAACAAACTGCAAAAACTTCTGCCGCAAGAAAGGTCTTCAATCTTTAGTTTCCTAAATAATCTCTTTATTTAGAAAGTCTTCATTCTCCTTGATTTCAGATTGAATTTTCTATACCTTTAATTATGCACCACATCGGATGCATAATATTCTCCTGAATATTCTTCCTCTATTAAGAATAAACTGAATCTCATTAATCCAGCTCAGCAGGCGTGATGTCAAAGACATCTTCTTTGACACGTTGTTCCAATTGTTGAAAAAGTTCAACACAACATTTTCTGATATTGTAATAGGACTTCCTGTTGTACCCGTTCTTCTTAGAAAGTTTATACATCCTATTCTACATTACATTATTGCTGCTATTATTTGTTTTACAAAAATTAAGTCAATCCTAAAATAAGAGAACTAACATAAAGGATTGATACTTAAACCCTATACTGATGAATTTTCTGCCTCCTTCATTTATTTGAACAATGTTATTGAATCCACTAGATCCATTCGTCATGTTCTCAAGTTTGGAAGTTATCAATGTTACCTTCACTTCAAGTTCAGAGTTTGTAGCTTGAAGTTTTTCTTTCTCCTCTTGAAGTTGAGCCACAACTTTCTTTTGGGCATCATTTAACTTACACACTTATTCACTTTTCATGCAGAGATCTTTGTAGAGACTTACTATTTCTTCATAGGTAAGGTCCTTATCACAAGAATCCATATTAGGTTTACACCTACTAATCATAGCTACATTCTTTGCAGTTTTCACACTTCTAACATCACTATCTTTCAAAATGTTAGAAGAGATGTTCCTAACATTTGGTCCTGATCCTATCATATCCCATAATTGATTAAGTCTTTTCCAAGAAGTATAGTTCCTTTTGACATATATGCATCAGAGTCATGAATTCTAGAAACACTTTTGTTCTTATTCTCATATCTTTCACTCATCTTTAATTGAAATATTTGTAGAGATCCAATAAGTTCACCATTTTCATACTTCTGACGTCTTGAGCTTCCTCAATGGCTGTTACCTTCATATTAAATTTACTAGGCAAAGACCTAAGAATCTTCCTAACCAGTTTTTATTCTGACATTTTTTCACCCAAGAGGTTTGATGCATTTGCAACTTCAAGAATTTTCATATGGAAATCCTGAACAATTTCATCATCATTCGTCTCTAGATTTTCAAACTTAGTAGTGAGAAGTTGAAGCCTTGACATCTTTACTTTGGATGTACCTTCGTGAGTTATCCTGAGAGTTTCCTAAGAATCCTTGGCCAAGGTACATGTATTGATCATTCTGAAGACATTTTTGTATACTCCATTAAATAAAACATTCAAAGCCTTGAAGTTTCCACTAGCCGATTTTTCCTCATCTTTAGACCTTCCTCTAGTTTTAAGGACATACTCCCTTCTTTATCCTTCACATTAGAAGGATCCCATCCTTTCAAGACAGCCTTCCATCCTTTCAAGTCCATGGATTTTAGAAAACACATCATTATAATCTTTCACCAGTCATAATTTGTGTCATCCAATAAAGGTGGCCTGTTGCAATATCCCCCTTCTTCATCCATAGTGCCAGAAGATATTTTCCATGGAGCTCACCCAATAAACAGAATAAGGTGCTTGCTCTGATGCATATTGAAATTCTGACACACACAATATAGATGTCAAGACAAATGTCTCAACGTACAAGCATAATGTCACGATGGATGTTATAACATCTATTGAAAGAACATAAGCTTTTACCAAAGTTAAAACAGTGTAAAATTATAAAGTGCAGAAGGTAAAAGAACATAGAGAATTGTTAACTCAGTTCGCTAAAAACTCACCTACTCTGGGGGCTACTAAGTCAGGAAAGAAATCCACCATCAGTAGTATTAATTCTAAGCTAAACTCCCCCGTTTACAACTTATCACTTAATCATTACCCAGTGCAACTTCTACCTAGGAACCTCCTAGATATGGAAAATTAACATTCCACTTCCAATCACCGTAGTGATAAAAGACCTACCCCAATCCCAGTAGCAGTCTATAATCTAGTCACAATCACAATGACTCAAAACAAAAACAAAACCGAAGTTTACACTTCAATCACAATACTCAAACTCTTGCTTAAAAGCTTTATATTGAGAATAATAACTTTACAAACTGTCAAGTAACAATCAATCAACTTAAGTGCATCAAGAGATGCAGGAGGACGTACAAACAAATCAAAAACTTCTTTGAAGAACCCTCAGACCCCACGACTTGGAAAAACTCTGGCTTCCCCTTATTTTTTTAAGTTCTTGATGATATTAGGTCTAGGTAGTTTCTTTAAATACTCTTCAACAATCCTTGGGCCTTGAATGTTCACCTAAATATTTCTTGTTGTCCTTGCTGAGAGCTGAACCAATATATGAACAAAAATCTCCTTGAATCTTGGAACATAAATACAAGGTTTCCTAATTAGTCTCAATCAACCAATTATAGTAACCTGTGTACAACTGAAGATATTGTTTGTTCCATATTTAAATATCATTCACCTGTGAAAAATTAGTTAGATAAACCAAAAAGAATCTCACATAATTATTTTAAATCTATCAAGAATAAATCAAACAACATAACCTGCTGTACCAGACCAAGATGTCATGACTTTGTCTTTGACATCTAGCGGAAACTAATATAACAACAAATCTGTTATGCTAAACAATGTTTTAGAAAAAATTATGCCAATCAAAAAAACATGATACTAATAAAGGGTATAATAAGAGAAGAAACACTTAGTAGATTAGTTCATGCATGATTGATTTAAGATTCTTAACCCAGTTCTTATAAAAAAGAAACTTTCTTTATGAATAAGTTTTGTAAAAATATATGCTAGTTGATCAGATGAAAACAAAAACTCAATTAGGCAATCCCTTTTTTTGACATGATCCCTAATAAAATTGTGCCCAATCTCAATATGTTTAGTTTAAGAGTGAAGTATATTTTTCATCAGATTAATGACACTAGTGTTGTCACATTTTATCGAAACGGTTATGAGATTAACTTTATAATCACTTAACTATTGTTTGTGCACAACAACTACATTTGTCATACCCTAAATTTGCTCGCCCTTTATTTCTATGGTCAAAAATATTTTCAATATTGATTTTATAATATTCTTTGATCTTTATAAATATTTACTTCCAAAACTATTTAAAAATATAATGATTTATTTCAAACCATTTGTATTTTTGATTAAATAAATATTTGCTTGATCTTCGTATGCTTTCAAAAGAATTTTTATTTTGAATAAACAAGGTAGCATAATTGGTAAAGAACGAAACTTACAAATATAAGGTCGCGGGTTTGAATCTCTTATGGTGCACTTTTTAACATTTTTTCTATTTTTCTTTTTGTTACTAATTTTCTTTTCTTTTTTAGAAATCAGACATTGAGCTTTTCATATATTCTAGATAACTTACTTACTAAGTTCTTTTAACCTAATTTATCTCTATAAATAAGACTCATTATTGTCCTAATTTTTCACACACAATTCATCCACGAAATCCACAAATTCTCACAAACACACAATTCATCAACAATTACACCAATCCACAAATACACCCACTCTCCCTAATATTTGCAACTCCCTCTTATCTTTAGTTTTTATATTTTATTTTGTTATTTTTGCCACATGAGAATGAATTGATGGTATAATTTTATTTCAAAAAAATTATTTCTTAGTAAAACTAACCATCTTCTATTTAGCGTGTATATTTTCTACACAAACCTACTACACATTCATACGCCCATTCCCCACACACAAAACTTTGTTTTGTCAAAAAAAAACAAATTTCACTTTTCTTTTCTCACGTGTAATAATATTACTTATCATCACCATCACCTTTGTGTTTGCCAAATCCATCACTAACTTCTACATACTCACTCCATAAACCAACAATCAATCATTAACCCATTCATCACACTCTTATTAACTTTTCCAAACTTGAAAAAGTTTTGATATCATAACACCAAAAATCAATACACAAAATCATTAGCATATTTTTAACAACAATAAAATCACCATAAACCTTGAATATAGCCTTACAATAATGAGAATAGCCACAACATTGTATTTTGTTTTGTTTTGCATCAATGAATGGCACTTCGACAAAAAAAAAAAAAATAGACGCACACTCCCACCGGCGATTCTCCCTCCGACACGCAAACTGCAACCGACGCGAAGTCGACGAAGCCACTCCAACCGCCGTCCGAGTTCATCCAAGACCAGATCCGCAACCTCCGTCCTTGATGAGAACCCGACGGACTGTACTTCAAGCCGAAATCCGCCACGATCCAAGATGCTTCCTTTTCTGATCACAACCCACTCCGCTGTCGCACTCGGAAGTCACGCCACAATCGACCCACCACACTTCTCCCACTTGCTTCCGATCGGAACCATCGGATGCCGCACATTTTTCCATTCAAACTCCCTCAGGCCACCGTGAACCGCGACGATCGGCACTCCCTTGCAAGCTCGGCTGCGCATCAGCCACGCCGACATCAACCACACTTCTCCGATCTCCAACCATGCTACTTCGCGGGCATTTGTACAGGTAGTACCAATTTCCACGTTACAGTATTTGTGCATAGCATTGAGTTTTGAATGTTTGGATATGAAATTGTTTGTGTAAGCAATTGAAAGAAGGAGAGAAAAATGAGATTTGGGAAAGAAGTGGAATTAGATCAGTAAGATAATCGTGGAGGTGCTGCTGACTATGTTTGTTACTGTTTTATTATTTATTTTATTTATGGTAAATTAAACTATATTTCTTTAGTAGTTGGGCCTTACAGGTCTGGGCTTAAGGTTTGATAGCTGATCATACTCCTTAAGATTTATAGTTACACCCTATTTAAGTGTTAGTAGTGCAATTAGTTTAAATTTCTATTAGGTTAATTAATTTATCTTGGTGCTTGATTATTTTAATGAGTGTCAGTTAGTTTAATTAATTTTTGAATAATTTAATTATTTTTATCAATTAGTTTAATTTTTTTATTATTATTAAAAAATTCAAAAAATAATAAACCTTATAGTCAACTCACATATACATAATTCTAAAATTTTCATTAATAATTAATTTTAATATTTTTATAAATAATAGGAGGTCCATCTTTGAGTAATTAAATTGGTTGACACGTCGTCTACCGGTTTATTATTCAAAATCAAACAATTAAAATTCACGCAACTTATCAAATTCACCATCCGCGAGCAACATGTGGCCAATATCTGGTCATTTAACGAAGAGACTATATCAGACTCCCCCACTCTATGTCTTATCACTCTTTTTAAGGAAAATTACAAGATTATTTTCGAAAAGGATTAAAGAAAATTATTTTTAAATTAACTGTGAACCGCGTCTACGATCACCCACTTTTCAAACCCAGACAAGGTTCAAGGATAATTCGAAATCAATTCTACACAATTTATAAAAAACACAACCAACACTACTACGAATTGGGACTCTGATTCCTCATAAGAGGATACGTAGGGATACTAATTAAAATCATGACGAGTTTCCCTAATAAAAAGCTAAAACCCTATTTCTTAAATATTGTGCTTCTAAACCCTAATATCCTTGTGAACAAGGTAGATTAAGAGTGCCTAACACCTTCCCTTTGTCTAAGAACGGGTCCAACAACTTAGAATCTTTGATCACATTAGGGTTATCCTGTATATTCCCTTCCCAAAGATAAAATTTAAGGGTGGAGACTCTCAATTTCAAACCGGTTACAACAACATGCAACAATGTATTATGCTTTAGTTATGAATAACACAACACTTTCTTGTTTCTTTATGTTCCATGAGACAATTGAGTTTCCAAGAAAATGACATGTGTCACTAGTAATTTTTTGATCTAAATTACAACATGCAAAATTATGTTTAGAGTACTCCACTAGTAAGATATCTCATAATGCATTTAACAGATGTGAGGTGTTATTTTTTTAAGTTTTGCTTGAAAACATGCACAGAAACAGACAACAAACATGATATTTGGATGAGATGCAACAAGATAAAGGAGAAAGCCAATCATACCATAATATTTGTTTTCTTCAACTAATTTTTCTTCTTTGCCCTTATCTAAATTGAATGATGTACTCATCAAAGTTGAGTTTGGTTTTTTTATCCATGTTGAATCTTATTAGTATCTCTTTGAAGTATTTAGATTGAATTATGAAGGTGTCTTCGTTTGATTGATGAATTTGTAATTCGAGAAAGTATCGCAATTCTCCATCATAGACATCTCAAATTAATTGGACATTATATTAAAAAATTTGATTACACAAGGGTTCATTAGTAGCACTAAATATGACATCATCTACATAAATTTGCACAAGTAAAATGTCATGCTTGGTTTTCTTAAAAAAAACAGATGTATCAACCTTTCCTCTTTTAAAATTGTTTTCAAGTAGAAATCTGCTCAAATATTTGTTCCAAACTCTAGGGTCTTGTTCCAAATCATATAGAGTCTTTTTTAGCTTAAAGTCGTGACCGGGAAAAGAAAGCTTTAGAAACTTAGGAGGTTGATTATCATACACTTCCTCTTGGATGTAATTGTTTAAGAGCGTGCTCTTTGCATCTATTTAGAAGAGTTTAAAATTCAAAATGCATGAGAAAGCTAAAAGAATCCTTGTGGTCAGTAATCTAAACTATAGGGGCATAAGTCTCATTAAAATATACACCTTCTTATTTATTGTAGCCTTTTGTAATGTGGATTGCTTTATTTTTAAAAACATTTTCATTTTCATCAAGCTTTTTGTGAAAGACCTATTTGATTTCAATCAGTGTCTTAGATGAAGATGAAGGTTTAGGAATAAGTTCTCAAACATTGTTTCTCTCAAATTGATTTAATTCCTCTTTCATTATATATATATATATATATATATATATATATATATATATATATATATATATATATATATATATATATATATATATATATATATATATATATATATATATATATATATATATATATATATATATATATATATATATATATATATATATATATATATATATATATATATATATATATACACACACACACACACACACACACACACACGAGGAATGATATTCTTACTTCAAGAGTAAGTTTATAAGAGTTACTCCAAATCTTAACCCTTGATTTTCATTAATCTAACGACTTTAATTGTTTCCAAAAATAAATAGATTAAATGATCAATTAAATCCGTAAGATTAATGAAAATCAAGGATTAAGATTTGAAGTAACTCTTATGAACTTACTTTTGGAGTAAGAATCTCTCTCTCTCTCTCTCTCTCTCTCTCTCTCTCTCTCTCTCTCTCTATATATATATATATATATATATATATATATATATATATATATATATATATATATATATATATATATATATATATATATAGAGAGAGAGAGAGAGAGAGAGAGAGAGAGAGAGAGAGAGAGAGAGAGAGAGAGAGAGAGAGAGAGAGAGAGAGAGAGAGAGAGAGAAACCAATGTTCATCAATGAGAGTTATTGGACTTGAGACTTCTCATACAAGAGGGGAGGGGGGGGGGGGGGGGGGGGGGTGAATTATGCGCTTAAGAAAAAAGTGATTTTTTGAAAACCTTTGGGAAGTAAAGAAGTAGTTTAAAAACATTTTTAAATAATTAGAAGCGGAAAAATAAATTGCAGAAAATAAATAGCGGAAAGATAAAGAGTTAAGGGAAAATAGGAACACCGGGAATCATAGAGGTTCAATACAAACAAAAGGACATACTCTTCTCCGAGTGTCGCACGCGCAAATCAGAACTAAGAGAGAACAAAATTGAGACAGTAATGATATGAAATAGAAATATAGCAGTAAAGATTTGAGATTTAAGCCATCAATTGACTTAACTCAACACAATGAAGTCGCCACCCCGCACTTTATTATTTCCAAAGGGAAATGGGAAAAAAGAGAACAAAACCCAAAAAGATAAGAGATCGAGGTACGGGGGTCAGTTATACAAAGGAAAGGTGTTAGCACCCTAAGCATCTACGGTACTCCGTAGAATCCACTTTGTTTGGTTTCTTTTAAAAGGAGTGTTATGTAAAGGTTTACTTGCTAAAGGAAAAGAATGAATGAGTATTTGTAAACAAAAGTAAATGAAATGTTTTTTTATTATTTTTGTTGCTCGCCTTGGGTCGTAAGACTTAGTGCCTACGTACTCCCTCGTGCAATGGGAAAGTCAGAGTACAGTAGTTCGGCTAGAAAGACTTGTCTGTTGATTATTTTTAAACAAGGAGACAAGTCGTCATTGTTAGGAGAGAAATCTCGACTAATGCCCACAAGGTGTGAGAAAGATGGACCCTGCGTCAACAAGAGTGAGGGTTTGAGAAATGCCTCTGGTACTCAAGTGGGAAAGTCGACACCTTTATAACCATAAGGATAGGAGAATATTGTTGACTATCAATGAATCGTGTCTCATCTTGAAAAAAGTTTTGAAGGGTAAAAGTGCTTGAGCGCACAAAAGAGTTTGAATGAGTTGAAGTGTTTTTGTTAGTTTTGAAAAATGTCAAAGTATAATTAAATGAATTGAAGTTTGTTTAAAGAAAATAAGTTTTAAAAGAAAAGGCACTCGACAAGGTCAGGGTTAATTATGAAAGCGGTTCGAGTTTATGTACAAAGAAGATTTTGAAAAAGATGAGAAGATTTTGAAAATTAAAGGATAGGATAAAATGAAAAAATAATGTCCTATGTACAGGAGGGTAAAAGATAAGGTAAAGAGGATCCGACCGAATAACAAACCAGTACTTGACAAGATGAAGTAAATACTATGTTCCCATCCCTTTGGGGTTTAAACTACAGACAAAAAATAAGCTAAGAGTATACCAAACCTCAGGTGAAAATAAATCACAAGCCGACACCATCAAAAAGCCAGATGTAAGATAATACTCCAAGCAGCGAATAAGGCACAATGAATCACAACACGTGAAAATAAATCACGATTGAAGAAAGCGTGGATAAAGCTCACGGTACCGAATAAGGCTCAAGATATTGAATAAAGCTCACGATATAAGATTCCCTGCATCACATGAAATATACAGACAAAACTAACAGCACGAGAAAAACTTATGTGCGCTCATACGATTTTCAACAGTTAATTTGGATTAAAAATTAAAAATCGCAACGCAATGGAAATAATATTTACATATACTGAATTTTTTTACAAGTGAATAAAATATACATTCAAAAATATTATGTACAAGTATATATTTACAGTACCAAATATTAAATCAGAATAGTAAAATACAATAAAGAGGTAAAGGGAGAAATGTAGGAATTGTGGACGCGCTATGTAGGAATGAATACTTGAAACAATTTTTTGGAAACCTTCACAGTAACAAACGCGTTAGTAGCATAAGCAGTATAAAAATAAAATGAAGGAAATTGCAACAATTAAAATCTATGTTAGTAATCACAAAACAATGAAATGAAATGAAATTGTATGAATGCACATGAACATTTACACAAATAAAAATCAATAATTCATGACATTATTCCATGTAAACACAAAAAATTAGCATTGCATACATTATTTCAAATGTATCAAAAGCAACCGCTATTTCAAACACAATGGAAAA